TTAGGCACCCATAGACAAACATTGGGCCCATAGCACTGAACTACACCAGTGGACAAATCTTTAGGTTTTTGTCTGCAGATAATTTTTATTCTCAACCATATACCTCTACCTTAAAAAAAATTGATCAGACTTTAAAATTTGGAATGATTAGTAATCCATGCCAGTGGGATTCCTTTGTCATGTACAGCATTGGGTCTTTTCCCTTTTTAAACAATGGCCTGTATTTCCTGTATGGGTGTTCTAATATTTCTTTTCCTTTATAACGGCATCTCTTTGATACACAAATATTGAAAGGGGAAGTATTTTGGGTCAATATTGCAAGTCATGTTTAAAAACCCACTACCGGGTTCTCATCCGGTCTCAGCCACTGTTTAAAGTGCTGGGTTTTAGCCCATCACTTTTAGAGTCTCATTTGCTGAGGTGTTCCTGCAAGTATCTCTGTAGATCTTAGGAAGTTGTTTCTTGATTTAAGGCATTGGCATGCTGGCTGATATCCAAAGAGGATGGCCCGGAGATGTCATTGTCTTGGTCCTTTCATTGCTGGCTGCTACTTCCATTTGCGTTTTGTCAGATGGTGCAATACCAGCTAACCAGTGTAACAGTGGTGTGGGGCATAGATATCCTGTGATAATGTGGCATGTCTCATTAGGAGTCACATCTACTGTTTTAGCATGGTGAGATGTTTTCCACACTAGGCATGCGAATTCAGCAGTAGAGTAGCCAAGCACAAAGGCAGATGCCTTCACTGTGTGTGGTTGTGATCCACAGGTTGTGCCAGTCAGCTTTCATATGATGTTATTTCTAGTACCCACTTTTTGCTTGATATTCAGATCAGAGCACGGTCCAGAGTGACTCCCAGCTATTTTGGTGTGCTGCAGTGCTCCAGTGGGATTCCTTCCCAGGTAATCCTTAGAGCTCGAGATGCTTTTCTGGTCTAGATCTTATGATACTATCACTCTTCTAATCTGTGAATTTGGGATATAGTCAACAACGCATCTGCATGGGTCTTCAACAGTTCAAAATATTGAAAAAGTGTTTCATATGAAGTCCTCATCTTCAGAATACTTGAATTCATTACAAATTTTTGAATAATTGGTTATGTTTGTATAAACAGCTCATTCCCTGCTGAAAACCCACAGGTCTCACAGTCATTCCTTAACACGCTTGAAGGAACATGCATTTAAACAGTGAAATATATTATTGTACATGTTATATATATGGATATTTACCAGTAATATAGTTCTGGTCAAAGTGTAATACAATTAATTTGTGTAATTAAAAATAATAGCTTACTTCATAAGAATGTTTATTTGGAAAGAGTTACCTGTCTTCAGCCATGTAATTGCTCTTATTATTTGATATATTAAAATTTGCAGGTATGAGTCAGTTTCATTGTAATAACATGACTGATAAACAACAGTTAGTGTTATTTATTATATCTCAAGATATCACTTGTATTAAATATGTGAACTTCTACATTGGCCAGGACAATACATGTGTTTTCAATACTTATCTAAAATTGTACATATTTGTACTTTGATTTAAATACTTTTTAAAACATTGCTCATATAAATATATATGGCCATGATCTCCAATGGAGTAAAACTGCATTAGTTCTTTTCTTTTTTTAAGAGATGTATAGTTGCTTTGCCTTTAGGCATTGTGTAAACTGGCCCTTCGAGCAAAACAAGATTGTTGCTGGTGACCGGTTTCGAGAGATTCTAATCAGAACTCTCCATCTTGCTTAATCAGAACAAGGAAAGGTACAATTTTACACACACTTGGGAAATGAAAACTGAACTAATTGAGGCTCATTCCTGAATAAACATGTATAGTATAGTATAGTATAGCTGGTGTGTATGTGTGTGTGTATATATAGGGTACACATTTTTCAATCACATAGCTATGGATCATATTTTATTTAACCATCAGTGTTTAATCAAAACACTGCTGACCCAAGAGTTAAACATTTTATAAATGCTTCCTCTCCAATGTATGAATTATTAACTAAATTTCTTTCTGGAGTTTTAGACAAAATGTTATTTTAAAAATTGCTTTAGAAAGGATAGAAAAAGCCAGACTAAACCAAATACACACAAATTTTAGTTCTAATATGTCAAGTCAACAATTCTATGTATAAAGGTAAATGCCTCCCCTGACATTAAGTCTAGTTGTGTCCAACTTGGGGTGGTGCTACTCATCTCCATCTCTGGCATTGTCTATAGGTTGTGTGGCCAGCAAGGTTGTGTGGCCAGCAAGACTGCATAGAGCCCCATTACCTTCCCGCCATGGCGGTACCTCTTGATCTCACATGTTTTTGAACTGCTAGGATGGCAGAAGCTGGGCCTAGCAGTGGGAGCTCACCCTGCTCCCTTAATTTGAACCATCAATCTATTGGTCAGCAAGTTCAGCTCAGCGGTTTAACCTGCTGCACCACTGGGGGCTCCGATTCTATGTATATTCTCATGCAAACAAAATACAAAATCACCAAATCTGTGGGTGCTCAGGTCTCATTACAATAGCATGGTACAATATTGCCCCTTAAATGACAAAATTAAGGTTTGGAATTTGAATATATATTTAAAATATTTTCAAGCTCTTTGAGAATTAGTGGGGTATGTTGATGCGGAATCTGCAAGTGAGGGGGGCACTACCCTGCAGGACATTTATTTGTTCCTAGTAGAGAAATGATTGGTTCCAAGCCAATCAACAAGAGTGCAGAAGTGGTTTGAGTGTTGGGAAGGCTAGAATGGAGGGAAAGAAAGGGGAAAGGTAGGAGGGGATAGAATCATAGAATTGGAAGAGACCTTGTGGGCCATCCAGTCCAACCCCCTGCCAAGAAGCAGGATGGGAAGAAAGGGAAATAATTGATGAGAAAGGAAAGAGGGGGAAAGTGTGTGAGTGAAAGGGAAGAAAGGAGAAAGAAGGTGTATGAGGGAAAGCGGAGGAAGGAAAAAGCGAGCTGCTAAGGAAATGAACACTGGGGGATCAGAATCCTCTGCCCACCAGGCCCAACTGACAAAGCTGATTAGTACTGGGGAAAATCATCCCATGCCCACCCCCAATCCAAAATGACTGGAACAAAAAGAATAAATTTTCCAAGGTCTGGTTTAAAGAGCTACTTGCATATATACCCTGTGTTGCCTCTCGGCCCTTCCACGCAACCCTTTATCTCAGAATAATGATAATGTGGGATTTTTCTGCCTTGATATTCTGGGATATAGGGCTGTGTGGAAGGGCTTTAGATCATTTTCCTTCTATTGCATGGTTTTTAATATCTTTGGCCTGACGAAGAAACTGAAGATGCATCAAAAGAAATGGATGAAGCATGATGTGTTTTGATCTTGCCATGGCTTCAATATTTCCGGATTTTTGTGTTATTTTGCCACATGGCCGACACAACAGACTGAGAATAAGTTTCCAACCTGCAAAGTTAGTTGGGCCTTATCTAAACTGCCATCTAAAGAAGTTTGAAACCACATTATATGGTTATTATATTTGTTGTTCATTCGTTCAGTCGTTTCCGACTCTTCGTGACTTCATGGACCAGTCCACGCCAGAGCTCCCTGTCGGTTGTCACCACCCCCAGCTCCTTCAAGGTCAATCCAGTCACTTCAAGGATACCATCCATCCATTTTGCCCTTGGTCGGCCCCTTTTCCTTTTTTCCTTCCATTTTCCCCAGCATAACTGTCTTCTCTAAGCTTTCCTTTCTTCTCATGATGTGGCCAAAGTACTTCATCTTGGCCTCTACTATCCTTCCCTCAAATGAGCAGTCAGGCTTTATTTCTTCAAGTATGGACTGGTTGGATCTTCTCGCGGTCCAAGGCACTCTCAGCACTTTTCTCCAACACCACAGTTCAAAAGCATCTATCTTCCTTCGCTCAGTTTTCCCTATGGTCCAGCTCTCACATCCATAGGTGACTACGGGGAATACCATGGCTTTAACTATGCAGATCTTTGTTACTCTTCACTATTTTATCGAGATTGGACATTGCTCTCCTCCCAAGAAGTAAGTGTCTCCTGATTTCCTGGCTGCAGTCTGCATCTGCAGTAATCTTTGCATGTAGAAATACAAAGTCTGTCATGGCCTCCACGTTTTCTCCCTCTGTTTCCCAGGTGTCAGTTATTCTTGTTGCCATAATCTTGGATTTTGATGTTTAACTGCAACCCAGCTTTTGCGCTTTCTTCCTTCACCTTGATTAGAAGGCTCCTCAGCTCCTCCTCGCTTTCGGCCATCAGAGTGGTGTCAGCTGCATATCTAAGGTTGTTAATGTTTCTTCCAGCAATTTTCACAGCAGCCTAGCATTCATCAAACCCCGTACATCGCATGATGTGTTCTGCATACAAGTTGAATAGTTTGGGGGAAAGGATACAACCCTGCCGTTCGCCTTTCCCAAACTTGAACCAGTCTGTTGTTCTATGGTCAGTTCTGACTGTTGCTACTTGGTCCTTACACAGATTCCTCGGGAGAGAGACAAGGTGATTTGATATGCCCATACCACCAAGAACTTGACACAATTTATTATGATCCACACAATCAAAGACTTTGGAATAGTCAATGAAACAGAAATAGATGGTTATTATAAATTAAACTGCATTATATGAGTCTACACCAGGTATGGGGCAAACTTGAGCCCTCCAGGTGTTTTGGACTCTAACTCCCAGCATTCCTAACAGCCTCAGGCCCTTTCCTTTCCCCCCTGTTAAGATTGGATTGGGGGATGTGGAAGGATAATTTCCCCCAGTACTAATCACCCATCTTTGTCACTTAGGCCTGGCGGGCAGAGGATTCTGGGAACCGTATGCAAATTAACCCTTCCCAGCTCTGTCCACTCGTAGGCCTTCTATTTGTAAACAATCCTCCTCCTCCTCGCCCTCGCCCTCCTCCTCCCTTGCGCGCTGCCTGCTGCTGCATTGTGTGTGGGACTCCTGCGGCGTGACGTCACCACGTCTGTGACGCCGCGCTGCGTGCTGGCGGCGGCGACGTCGTCGGCGTGCCTGACGTGATCCCCGCTCGCCCGCCTGCCCGCCCGCTGCCTGGCTTCCCCTCCCCCGCGGAGCTGTGAGGCAACGGCGGCCGTGGCGGCTGAGGGGCACCGCGGGGCCTAGCGGAAGAGGCCGGGCTGGCGCGGGCGGAGAGGCGCCGGTCCTACCGCCGCCGCTGCTGCTGCCATGGAGGGGATGGACGTGGACTTGGACGCGGAGCTGATGCAGAAGTTCAGCTGCCTGGGCACCACCGACAAGGACGTGCTCATCGGGGAGTTCCAGCGCCTGCTCGGCTTCCAGCTCAGCCCCGCCGGATGCGCCTTCTTCCTGGACATGACGAACTGGTACAAGGCCCGGGAGGGAGGGAACGGGAGGGGAGGGCAAGGAGGGGAGAGGGCGCCTCCGGAAGGCAGGCCAGGCCCGGCCGGAGCCCCTCGGCCCCGGAGGAGGCTTGGCCAACGAAGCTGGAGGGAAAGGCCGCCTGCCCCTTTAAGGCGGATCGGTTCCCGTCAGGTGTAAACAAGGCTCAGTGTGACGCGGCTCCTGCGCTGCAGGAAAGGAAGAGTGGCGCGAGGGCCGCCCAGATGTCGGCTGCGGGCGCCTGTTTTCGTTCACTCTTACTATCTGCGGGGGAGGCGTCAGGGTCAGGCCTCCCCTCAGGCCCAGAGCCCGGCTCTTCCCTCCCCCTCAGTCCCTCCCGCATGCTTTTGTGTTCTCTCACCTTGTGGCTTTCTTTCTGGTTGTTTTGCTGCTTCAACTTTTCCCACTTCGCGACCCCTTTCCGCCCCCCAGTGTGACCCCCCAGGTATAGAATCATAGAGTTGGAAGAGACCTCGTGCGCCATCCAGACCAACCCCCTGCCAAGAAGTAGGGAAATAGCCATCCAGCCTCTGTTTAAAAGCCTCCAAAAAAGGAGCCTCCACCACACTCTGGGGCAGAGAGTTCCACTGCTGAACAGCTCTCACAGTCAGGAAGTTCTTCTTAATGTTCAGGTGCATTCTCCTTTCCGTTTGTTTGTTTGTTTGCCATATTTATACCCAGCCTTTCTCTACCCCAGCAGGGGAACTCAAGGCGTCTTTCAATGGCACATATACAATGCCTCTAAACAACGAATTCACACGAATGAGACATGATTAAAATACATTCAAAGTTAAAAACACGCCACCCAGAGTTCAAAGTCTAAGGCAGGGGTCCTCAAACTTTTTAAACAGAGGGCCAGGTCACAGTCCCTCAACCTGTTGGAGGGCCGGATTATAATTTGAAGAAAGCATGAATGAATTCCTATGCACACTGCACATGTCTTATTTGTAGTGCAAAAGCACTTTAAAACAATACAATACATAAATCAAAGAACAATTCTAACAAATATAAACCTATTCGTATTTCAATGGGAAGTATGGGACTGCTTTTGGCTGATGAGATAGGATTTTTGTTGTTGTATGCTTTCAAGTTGTTTCAGACTTAGGTTGGTCCTGAGCGAGGGCCGGGTAAATGACCTTGGAGGGCCATATCCGGCTCCCGGGTCTTAGTTTGAGGACACCTGGTCTAAGGCCATTCCAAGGTCAAATTGAACATAATTACCCAATACTGCAATTCCCTGATTTTCAAAAGCCTGCTACCACAGCCAGGTTTTGACTCTCTTCCGGAAAACTAGTAGGGAGGGGGTTGATCTGATGTTGCTATGGAGGAAGTTCCACAACTATGGGGCCACCACTGAAAATGCATTGTTATTATTATTATTATTATTATTATTATTATTATTATCATCATCTACATTTCTATACCGCTTTTCTCACCCCTGGGGGGGCTCAAAGTGGTTTACAACATAATAAATAGCAAATTCAATGCCTATGTCTCGTCCCCACCAGCCATACTTGTAAGGCAGGTGGGACCGAGACCAGGGACTCCCCAGATGATCTTAGTCTCCGAGCTGGTTCGTAGGGGAAGATATGTTCGGACAGGTATCCTGGGCCAGAACTGTTTGAAGCCATTATTCCATTTCCTAGTCTCCAGGGCAGCTGAAAAAAAGCCTGTTCCCTCCTCCCTATGACTTCCCCTTACATTTATACATGGCTATTATGTCTCCTCACAGCCTTCTCTTCTGCAGCCTAAACATTCCCCTGCTTTTTAAGCCGCTTGTTCTCCAGACCTTTGCTCATTTTAGTCACCCTTCTCTGGATACATTCCAGCTTAGAGTCAACATCCCCTTTAAATTGTAGTGCTCAGAATTGGATACAGTATTCCAGGTGTGGTCTGACCAAGGCACAGTAGAGGGGTGCATGATTTCCCTAGATCTAGACCAGGCATGGGCAAACTAGGAGGTGTTTTAAGGAGCTCTGATATCTCTGCTGTTTTTAGTCTACTGAGGCACAACAGTTCATTGTTTTGATTGGATAGAGAATGCAAAAGTGTCACTATCTCACTTCCCCATGTGAACAATTTTGGAATTCTAAATAAGGGATGCTCAACCTGTAAGAACAGAAGATGCCTTCACAGAGGCTGGATCTACACTGACCATATCATGAAGTTCATACATCATTTATAGACCACCAAGTACATTCTGCTTTGCATGTTCTCAACAAACTGTTCAAAACTCCTTACAAAAGGCATGTGAAACCTTGTTTGACTAGAGACTACTGCTCCTTAAACTGCGAGACCTGGCTCCACGTGGTTACTCCTTGGCTCAACATTAGGGTCATGAAAAATCACTACCTATTTACACAGATCTGTTAGCAACAAGGTGCAGGGCTTACTGTGGATTCTGCAGCAAATTCTTCAGCTGTACTCCACAAAAAGGAAATCCAGCCTGTTTAGCAAGACTTGCAAATGCGGCTTTATTATAAGTAAATATTTGATTTTGATGCCTGTTTCATATACTTATGTACTTTTAAAGGTTGTTAACCTTTAAAGCCCTGAATGGTTTGGGTCCAGACTACCAGACCACTTGCCTCTCCTCATATGACCCTGCCCAGACACTATGTTCATCAGGGGAGGCCCTCCTCTCGTTCCCACCCCTGTCCCAAACCCCGCTGGTGGGGATGAAAGAGGGCTTTCTCTGCAATTGCCCCCTGCCTCTGGAACTCTCTCCTGAAGGAGATTAGAATGCCCCTTGTGCTCCCCTCTTTCAGTAATCAGCTAAAAACTTACCTAGGCTTCCAGGCATATGGAGAGCTGAATGTCTGAAGATCTGGCTTTACCAAACAAGGAATTGTCTGTGTCTATAAATATGACTTATAATGCTGGATATGATTTTTTTAATCTGTGGGTCTGGCTTTTAACTTTGTTTTTTACTGTTGCTGTGGAATATGTTTTATTAGTCTTTTATTATGTTTTGGTTATGATTTAATGTTCATACTATTTTAATTTATTGTGTATTTTGTGGTATTGAAAGGTTGCCTTTTATGTTTTAAGCCACCCCAAGTCCTCATGGAGAGATGGGATGGCATATAAAAAAAGTTTGATTGATTGATTGATTAAGCCAATTGGGGTTTTGGCCTGCATAAATAGGAGTATAGTGTCTAGACCAGGCATGGGCAAACTTCGGCCAACTAGGTGTTTTGGACTTCAACTCCCACAATTTCTAACAGCCGGCTGGTGGTGTGGTGTAGGGCATGTTTTCAGTAGATGGTCTGTTCATTTTTCCCCAGTTGGGCTCTACTTTGTGTATAGTTTTCCCAGGTTTTTTCAGATATCCACTTTAACTAAAACCACAAATCTGTCAGATATTATATTTTGTACTTTTGGTGAAGCATTGGAGTTCAAACTGCTTAGATGAAAAGTGTATTTTGGCCACAATTCAACTATATCAGGAAATTAGTTGTGTTTACTTCTAACTTAATATCAGTATTGACAATTAGAAAGTCAATGTAATAGTATATACTATATGGTACAGTACATAATTTTTTTCTTTGATTTTGAGGTCAGTTTTACATTCTGTCTTTTACTAAGCCTCTTACATTGACTTGTATGAGTTTCTACCAATAGAAATAAGAGATAGGTATTGTTCAAATCAAGAAGTGAATTTTAATCTTATACAAAGCACATGTAGTTCAAATTGTGTGTAGATCATGTGAAAAAGGTTCCTTTAGAATGAAAGCAATTATGCCAGGCAAAAACCTTTACTCTGACATCTATTTTTGTATATGGGGTGATTTATTAGCATACAGTTATATACCAATGATCTGGAGTTGTACATTTCAGGTAATGGTTTATCACCTCTTCTACTTTTGTATTAACTGTGCCATAGTAACTTGTCTAAGATCCACCCAATCAGCCTTAGGACCTCATGGAGATCTGAAGTTGTCTTTCTTATAGCTATTCACATTACTCCACCACTCTTACAATTGATTCTCCTTAAAATCATGCTTTATAATATCCCACATCATCCAGAAAGCTAGAGTTATCTGTCGTATGTACCTCCAGTGACAATCACTGTTTTGCTGCTGTGTCATGCCTGAGAAAACCAATATTGTGTGTTAGATCACTGTTGTGTTTCAGTATACAAACAGTCCCCAAGTTACAAACATCCGACTTACATATGACTCCTCTATTTACAAACAGGGGTGGCAGCGCTAGGTGGGCCCAGGAGTTAAGAGTATCAGCCTCAGTGTGTGCTAGCCTTTTGCAGTATTTGAAAATGTTTAAGCATTTACATTCACTGGTAAAAATAAATGATATGTTAAGAGAAACATCTGTCCAAGTTGCATTTAAAGTAGTTCACCATGCTTTTTAAAAAAGTTTTGTTTAGTATGTTGTGGGAGTTAGAGCCACTGTGAGATTTTTTACTGCTTTTTAATCTCATTTCCTGTCCGTTAGTGAGAGGAAATCTACCCCTAAGAAGGAAAATTTACTTTTGTAAAAGTTGTCATGGGGAAAAGATAACTCTACTGAAGCTTTATCGCCAGTCTTGTTTTTAAGACAACCTAAAAATTTCAAAAACCAATTGTCACAGGGACAGAAAACATGGTGAAATCTTCTAAATTATTACAGACAGCAAAAGAAACGTTGCAGGGGTGTTAACCCATCCTTTTACTATCCAAAACTTTTTTTCCTGGAGTTACATTTAGGAAATGTACCTGTTCCAATTTATATACAAATTCATCTTATGAACAAACCTACAGAGAACCTATCTTGTTCGCAATCCGGGGACATCCTGTATTTGTTGTTGTTCCGACTCTTCATGACCTCATGGACCAGCCCATGCCAGAGCTCCCTGTAGGCCGTGGCCACCCCCAGCTCCTTCAAGGTCAAGCCAGTCACTTCAAGGATACCATCACAGTATTTATGGTCCAACTCTCGCATTCATAGGTTGCTACGGGGAATACCACTGTTTTAACTATGTGGA